ATCGAATAATATTATTACAAATGTTACGACATGAATTTACAGATCGTAATTAAGCACTGTCCTACCTGTTCGCTTATCAACTGGCAAATTAATTTGTCGGCAGATAACAGAAAAAAATGCGTGACAAATTATTATTAAACCGACGAGAGAACGATGATTTATATTTCCCGTACATGGAAATTTTGCAGAAATGAGGCAGAAAAAGGCATTGATGTCTTTCGAAGATCAAAGGCGATTTCTATCAAAATGACGACTTTAATTCACTCTTTATTTTTCATATTTTTCTTCTCTTTTCTTCTCTTCATTTGTCATTCTTCTTCATTCTTTTTTATATTCTTTTTCTCTTTTCTTTAACTCTTCTTTACTCTTCTTCATACTCTTTTTCTTCCTTTTTAACTATTCTTCATTCTTTATGGATACTTTCTGATTTTCTCTTGGTCAAAGGCAATTCGTATCAAAAAGATAATTTTATTTCACTTTTCTTCACTCTCTTTCACTTTCTTTTACACTCTTCTTTATTTCTTCTTTTCTTCCTCATTTTTCTGCACTCTTCTTTACATTCTTCTTATCCCTTCTTTTCTTCTTCAGTCTTCTGCACTCTTCTTCACTTTTCATGAGTATTTTTTGACTTTTTTCTTGGTCGAAGGCGATTCCTATCAATACAACAACTTTACTTCACTCTTCTTGACACTCTTCTTATCTCTTCTTTAGCTCTTCTTCACTCTTCGTAGATATTTTTTTACTTTTTCTTGGTCGAAGGCGATGCCTATCAAAATAACGACTTTACTTTACTCTTCTTCACACTCTTCTTATCTCTTTTTCAATTCTTTTTCACTCTTCTTCATTCTTCTTCATTCTTCATGGATATTTTTTGATTTTTTCTTGGTCGAAGGCGATGCCTATCAAAACAACGTTTTTACTTTACTCTTTACTCTTTTCACACTCTTCTTATCTCTTCTTCCTTCATTAAGGATATTTTCTGATTTTTCTCTTCGTTTTTGCGACTCGGTCGATCGTTCGCGCTATCGCGAGATGCTTGCAGACGCTATTCTCGTAATTGCCATTCGTGATCTCCCGGCTGGCAGTTACCACCAGAGGCCATCAGAGGAGATTTTTCACGTGGGATATCACGACGGCACCCTGTGTAACCACGACCTCGCCCTTTATGCAGGCGGCGGAAGGCGTCTGTGTGTACTCAGGCTCCCCATCATATCGCGTAAGCCGTGAGGCAGCTTAGTTTGTCGGGAGTTCAGGTACAGGTAATTACCTACTGGCTACCGGCGTCAGGTGGTAGTGACACGGTAGCATCGACCTCTCTTCCGCCTTCTCTCTTCCCATCACATCATCTCTCTCTCTCTCTCTCTCTCTCTCTCTCTCTCTTCCTCCTTTCTTCCTTCGACACACCTCTGCTACGTATTTACACGCACCCACGCAAAAATGCCTCGTGGCGATCAGTTCCATTAGCTTAATGGGATCGTCTCTCCTAAACCTTCCCGCCAACAGATTGACCGTCTTATTTGACGGTTCCCTCATACGTTCACTCTAGCGGAAAGTTCGAGTCCCGCATTAATTATTCGGTATCTCATTATTATACATGTTGCTAAATCCGAGGATTAATTATTTTAATGATAAGTTGTGAGAAATGTTGCAATAATTGATTATAAAAAAATGTCATTTTCTCCGTAATTTATGAAGAATCTTGACGCAAAATTTTCACATATCTGTGTACTACATTTTGTGTATAAATTGTGGATGTAAAATCGTTACCACCGACTTATAATTGCATTAAATGGTGCGTATTAGCATATCAGCGCTGATAGCCTCGCATTATGCGTTTTAATGCACATTTATAGGATACCTGCGGCTGCTCTTCAATTATGAACGAGCTATGGCGCACATATAGGTATAAAGTCAGAATTTCTCGACATGCGAATTATGGTGATTGCTCTTCGCTTCGGGTATGATTGCAATTACATCGATTAGCATATTTTTTAAAATTATCATTATATCACGGTTGAATTGCGAATCATGATTGTGTTTCGAAATATCATCGTAGAAATTCGTACAAAGTAATTTTGAAAATTTATTGCTCCTAACATTTTTAATATTTTTATATTATATATTTATTTGGTTTAACAAAAATATTGATTATCTTTGACAGCTCTGATGATGAGACATTAAACGAATAAATGACATTATTAGAGAAGATCAAACCTTCCGGCGGGAATTTGTGTGAAGATCCAGAACTATATTTTTTTTAATCATCCTACTATCATTATTTACAAACAGTGTTTGCTGGTATCTAAATAAAATTATATAGATGATCATCTAGATAAAATTTTGGCGTCATCTTATTTTTATACAATTCTTTATATATAGATAATAAAAATATATATTATCTATATCTGCAACTTAGATGAAAAAAAGTATTACTTTCAATAAATTATCTAGAATAATGTTCAGATAATTTGGTTTAGAGCCATAGCACATGAAAATACTTAATAGATAACAGAACTTAAGCAATAAGTGATAAAAATTTATGAATAAAAGTATAAATATATTTTTTTATAACTGTTTATATAAAATCGGTCTTAAAAATAATATTATCTGAAAGTAATCTAGATGATATAATTTTATTTTTATCTAGATATATATTCAAGACAAAATCAACTTTATCTTATCCAAGATGAATTTACATATTTTCATCTCATCTTTATCTAGCTAATTTTACAATCTTTAAATTAAAAAAAAATTTTAATTAAAAAATCTGTTTTAAATTTTAAAATCATCTATAAGCACGACATTGTTTACAAAATTATATATGTTTGATGACTGGAGCCGGAACATCCAAAATTTGTTGAAATTCTTTCCCATCTGAACACACAGACATTCACATATGAGTCGTCAATAATGACCTGTCAATCGCGATCGATCGCGATATATTCGGATGCGAGCGACGAAGGTGCCTGCCCGCGAGGGACCACTCTTGGCAGAGAGTCTCCCTCGTTGCTGTTGATCGATGTTATACGACATGCGCCACGGGGGTGGTTCAGTATCTGTAACATTTCGTTATCGGCATACTCGGCGTGCCCCCACGTCGTTTTCGCCACGCATGCCGCGGGCGTTCCACGGGAGATAACGCGCTATATGTATACGCGCGCGCAGAGCGGAACAAGACAAGGCGGATGACACGGCCCGTAATTGCATGTTATCCGTCGCGTCTCGCACACGGGCGCGCAGGTATGCACGCAAGTATACGCGAACCCCCCGGTGCGCGCGTATTTGTGCGGAAGAGTGGGACCGGCTACCCGTTCCACGTGCTCGACGTCCCCGGATATGATGCGACACAAAGGACGTTTGCGGCGACCGCGCCTTTCCGACCTCTTGTACGCCTTGATGTGCATGTGTTATATATAGGGTGTATCTAAATAAGTGTGAACAAATATTTTAGGAGATGATTCTTTGTCGAAAATTAAGGGCGGTTTTTCACATATAAAAATATACTTGTGTCCCTCCCTATATACAAGGTATATTTATATAAGCGCAAAAAAATTTAGATGACTTTTTAAAATATACTCTTATATCCTTTTCTGAAGAGTTACACTTTTCTAAAGAAGGAGGTAAAAATTAAATTTTTATTTAAAAAATATTAATACATATTTTTTATTAATGGAAAATATCCACCAAGTTTTGTTTTTTTAATTTATCTGAAATCTGAGAAACCTTTTTGTATGTAAAATACATCCTATTTTGTCTATTTTTATAAAATAGGAAAATTTGATACTTTGATCTTTAGAGGATTCCTCTTAAGATAAGATGATTATTTTGGCGCCTATTTTAAAACAGAGTATTCTAAAAATAAGTAAAAAATTCTTAAAATAAGAATACAATTTTTTCAAGATACAGGGTGTATCTAAATAAGTGCGAAAAATTTTAGGTGATTCTTTGTGTGTCGAAAATTAAAGGGAATTTCTTATATATGTATAAACATATATCCTAATATTTTTTTTCTCAAATTTCAGATGAATTAAAAAAATTAAACTTGGTAGATATGTTTCACTAATAAAAAAATATTTATTAATTATTTTCTTTTTAAATCTTCTCTTTCTTTAGAAAAGTAATTCCTCAGAGAGAGATATATAAAGAGTATATGTTTATATAAGAAATCCCTCTTAATTTTTGACAAAGAATCAACTCTTAAAATTTTTTGCACTTATTTAGATACACCCTGTATATGCAAATTATTCAAGTGTAAATAATGTCTGCTTCTCGCGAGCTGATTCTCGGATTTATTGAATGACCCATCATTAGAACCATAGATCAAGTCACGCGAAATAGCCATAACTTTTGGTTCACTGATCGAAAAGGATTGGTTTTTTTCAAGAAAAATGATTCACTCGACATGTAATATTTTATATACACCGTGTTTCAGAATTAGTAGATCACCTGTTAATTTCTGGGATCATTTGGAGATGATTTTTCCACAGCAAAAATGTCGAGGCGCCAAACATTTTTGAGTTACAAGCGATTGGAAATAAAGGATTTTTTTGCAAACTAAGTTTTTTGTGGAAATAAAATATTAACAAAACCATATTCTTCAATTAATTTCAAGTAGAATTTAATAGAATTTAATTTAATATTTAGTTATAAAAAGATACATGATGGCAAAAATTAGGAACATGCAAAAAATGAGATGCTCTCTCTCTCTCGACACATTTTTGAGAAAAATCGTCTCCAAATGATCCCAGGAATTAACAAGTAATCCACTAATTCTGAGTCTCCCTGTATTATTTAGGAAATTTTTCATCATAATGATAACAAAAATTAATCCATATTTATATGATCATAAATCCATATTTATATGATTAATTGACAAGTGTTTGAACATAAAGAATTAAGCACAATAATTAAAGAGAAGTGTTTTTACATAAAACATTAATCTTTGAGTGATATATATATATATAATAGTGAATGTCAGAATTTTTTAAAATTTCTTGCAGCCTCCTCTGCACCGCGGGAGAAATCCTCGCGGGAGGAAGTAGTTCAACCGGAAGCGCACTCGCCCTCGTCTCAGCAGCATCAAAGACTCGGGAGTCAGCAGAAGCAAGCGAACGGTTCTCGATCGGAGTACAAAGGTTCCAGATCCTCTGACAACGACAGCCCTTTGCCTTCGCAATCGGTCAAGTCCGAGCTCGAGGAAGGGTCCGGCGCTGCGAATGCTGGGCCCAGGACGGACGAACAGGGCGATGGTGTCGGGTTGGCGAACGGCACCGGCACCTCTGCCAGCGCATCCAGATGCGTCAGCAGCATCTTCGCCGGACACGGCAAGCTCAAGAGGCTGCTGGGCACTCTGGTGCAATTTGCCACCGACATTTCGACGGATACCGGCGACACGGTGCGTGCGCTGGTGCTCGCGCTTCTGGTAGGTGATTAATACTTCTATTTCCGCCACGATTAAAATATATAAAATAGTTAAAAAATTAATATATGCAAAAATAAAATATATAAAAAATTAAAATATATAAACAAATTAAAATATATAAAAAATCTACTTAAGGGGATGCCGGATGTCTGTTTTATCGATCAGATGATTATAGATTTTTCTGCACCGAAATCTTTTTATTGGTTTAATAAAATAATAAATGCTTTTCCACAATTAAAACACGTACAGAAACAAAGTGGGAACCTACTGATTTTATGTTAAAAACAAGAAAAAATTTAAAAACTAAAATTTCTTTATCGACTTCTGTCGTCAGGTCGAAAAAAATAATTGTTTAATATAAAAGTTCTGCTGTTTGTACGTACAAAATAAGATAGGTTCCGACTAGAAATTGAATGAAGAAGTATTAGTATATTTTTAGATATAAGTTTAAAAGCCTAATAAATAAGAAAACGGTGCAGAAAATTTTCACGCATGTGTTGTATACGTGCATATGTTTAGACATGTGTGGTGCTAACCTATCATGTGTATATGTGTATACGTGCATATGTTTAGATATGTGTGGTGCTAACCTATCGGAGTTCGGCCGTCTCTCCGACATCCCCTTAAGGGGATGCTAACCATGACTGTTTTACCGATTTTAAGTTCAAGTGCTTTTCTTTTTAGATTGAAAAATCCTTCTCCACAATTAAAGTACTGATAATAATGAACGCTGTAATTTCGAATAAAAAAACAATAAAAGTTAAAAAATTACAGTTTTTTATCGGCCTCTTGCATCAGCTCATAACAATATACTTATTTAATACAAAAGTTTTGCAGTTTATTTGTGCACAAAATATGGCGCTCCTAATAGAGATGACATGAAAGAATAATACAGAAGTAATAAAAATGAGATTAAAAGCCTGTATCAAAAGATTCGTGTTTCAATTAATTATATGTATGTACATTTGCGTGCAAAATTGATGACGAGGCATAAAACAGCAAAAATTAGTTGCTAGACAGTGCTCCCCATTTATTATTATAAGTACTTTCATTGTGGATGATTTTTCAATCTGTATATTCAATAAAAAGTGAACCTAACCTAACTTAAAGTCGGTAAAACAGAACAACGGCAGCATCCTCTTAAATAAAATATAAAATATAAATTTTTTAGTAACTTATTTTAATTTTAATAATTTTATTATCAAATAATATAAAGATTTTTGTTAATTTTCCAATAAATTTACTATGGTGCGCACTATGAATGCATGTGTATAGGAACCGTTAGATCGTATTGCGATCTCTGTTAGCTTGTCGCGCATTGCATCTGGTATTTGGCCAAGCATCCTCTCACAATCAGGTGCATGCGAGATTTTACCGAAGTTACGAACTCCTTTAATACCAACAATAAGTAACATACGCGTACCAGCTGACGGAGTTTTCTGTCGCGTGCTGAAATCGCAAAACTTGCTATAAGCATCAGCGTATGTTGTGCAGATGCATCTCTAGTGCATGTTGTAGATTGCAGGTAGCTCTCTTCAATGGGCATTATTTATGTATTTATTAAAAAATGATTAACTTTTTTGTATAATTGAATGATAAAATGCAATCGAGTGTGATTTATTTTATATAAATGAAAAGTTTGTCAAAATAAATTTTGAAACTGATAATTTCTTGATTGTGAAAGGATGCATTTTAATTTTACATCTTGACAATGATAAGATGATAAAAATTTGAGTCCAATTGCAATTTTATGTTGAAATTACTTTTTGTTTTTTAATTATCATTTACTTAAGTTTTATTATTTTTTTATAAAGGATGGGAAATTTTTAAAATATATTTTTGTCCTGGAAATTATTCACAAACATCTTTTTTCATGATGAAAATCCATATTGCATCAGCAAACGATCATTTGCCCATAATGATTGTGTCATATTATTACTGATATCGATTGGATTTAGTGATGTTATTTTTATACAAATCTTTATAATTATATACATTATATATATAATAATCTATCCTATTTTATTTAAACAATTTATCTAATGTTATTTAATTTTAATTAACTTATTGTTCGACAACATAGAGTATTTTAGAGAACAATCGTCAAAATTTTGAGGTTTGGGGAAGAAAAGCGATTTGTTTACTAAATTAAAATATAATTGTGAGTATTCTGTCTGTTATAATTAAAATTATAATTAAACAGGGAGGTTTCTCAAATGAATTATTAATTAATTCATTAATTGAAACAGATAACAGATCTGTGTACGCGGCACCGGATGAAAAAAAAGAAAAAGAAAAAGAAAAAGAAAAAGCACAGTTAATCGATGCCGGGCGCGTCGTTAAACAGCTCGTAAATATTCAAAGTACGCACATAATGCATAATGTCGGCCGTGTGTACCAAGCGTGCATACGTCCTGTGGAAACATGACATCTGGTGACCGTGCTTAACTGTAAAACGATCGCGGCACGTGACAAACGCAAAACCAAATCCTACCCCGAAACGCGCGCGCGCGCGACTCATTTCCGGAAATGCGGTCTCGCTCCATACCGGATCTTTTTGTCTCGACGCGATTCAATTACGCGAAGTGATGGTGGACCGACTGAACGTGTTCGTCGTCCCTCGTTAATTTTCAGAGCGGCAGCATGACCGCCGAGGAATTTCACTCGGCGTTGCAGGAGGCGACCAACTTCCCGCTCAGAAGCTTCGTCCTGCCGTACCTTAAGCACACTTTACCTTCCTTGCAGAGAGACCTGAGCAACGCGGCCCGAGCGAATAATCAGGTAAAACCGATTTTTGCATTTATTACAGATGGCCGGCCAACAAAACTCGTTCTTCAAAATGCGGAAGACGAGAATTTTTATTCTAAAGTGGATCGTGCTATTGTTTTTTTTTTTTTTAAATATAACATCCCATACAGCACAGATTATTGCAATTATATTGCAGCAACGTTGCAATGTTGCAAGTTGCAATGCAACATTATAAAGACATTGCAGAGATATAGGTGCACAAAATTCCAGCACACTTGTAGCAACATGACATTAATATTTCGGAAATATTGCATGTAATCCAAATTCTATAATTTATATATTGTAATATATATATATATATATATATATATATATATATATATATACCCAGCAAACACCAAGTTACAGCTATATAATTGTTAGTTGTAATTTCCCACTCAAAAATATAATACGTGTATTATAACAATTATATTGTTGAGTGGAAAATTACAACTAACAATTATATAACTGTAACTTGGTATTTGCTGGGTATAATACTGTAATAAAATAATTTTTTGCAATATTGTACAATAAAAGATGTTAACGATAATCAATAATTTTATTATCTTCCAAAAAGCGGACATTTTAACATTGCTGCAATTCAACAGCAATGATGTAGCAACATTTTGCAGTAAATTTGCAATATTGCGGTGAAAGATTGTTGTAATGTTTTTGCAATCTATCGGTGCTGTATGGGATATAACCCATACAGCGCAACGAGATTGCAGCATTGTGGCAACATTTCATTGCAATATTACAACATTGCATAAACACTGTGAAATGTTGCAGCAATCTTGCTGCAAGGTTGCAGCAACGGTAAAATATCCGCTTTCAGTAATATTGTTCTATAACTTTGCAGCAATAATGCAATAAAATAAATATGTAATATTACTATTGGATTATTGAAAATGTGTTAAATACATGATCGGACTGAATGTTCTGTATCTAATATTTTTTGCGTAAATTTTATTTTTATAATATTTCTGAAATGTTACTGCAACGTTATTTAAACTATATTGCAAATTTATGTCTATATAATATTTCTGCAATATTGCTATGCAATGTGCAATATTGTAATGTTGTTGCAATATTGCTGCAAACTTGTGTGCTATGGAATTAACATTTTTAGATTTCGGATTATATGCTGTTATCTTTTGCAAATTCTATAGAGAGCATTGATAATTGTGAAAATATTATAATATTTTCAACTAATTAATGTTAATTAATTAAAAACATTATAATTTGTTCAGTGTCCTTAAATAATTTTAAAATTAGTTAGATAAAGATGAGATAAAAATATGTAAATTTATCTTGGATAAGATAAAGATGATTTTGTTTTAATATTTTTAGATATAAAAGATAAAATTATATGGCAATTTATCTAGATAACTTCCAGATAATATTATTTTTAATAGCGCTTATGTAAATACAGTTATAAAAAAATGTTAATTATAAAAGGGATATAAAAATATATTCATATTTTATTAAGTCATAAGTTTTTATCGCTTAATACTTAAGTTCTACTACTTAAGTATTTTTATGTAAATACTATAAAATATTAAAATATTAATTTAGTGGAGATAACACTTTTTTTCATCTAAGATGCAGATATGGATAATACATATTTTTATTATTATTATCTATATAAAGATAAGATAACGCCAAAATTTTATTTAGATAATCTACTATCCAGTTTTATTTAGATAACAGAAAACACTGTCTACAATTTATTTTGTAGTAAGTTAAGTTTTGTTTTGCCGGTTTATTTAAAAGAGTTTGCAGTCTTTTGTAAAGTTTAGATTAATATCGGTGACACAAGTTGCCAGAGAGAAGAATATTTTCTTAAATTGAATCAGTAAAAATATTACTGATTAAAATAGGAAGAGCAGCAACAAGATTTAATCAAAGCTCAGTGACTATTTTATGAGTAATTTACTAATTCTTATATAGTAAAAATACAATTTGATCTCCGTTGTACATAATACTGCACTGGATTGTAAACTGCAACACTATATAACCATATACATATACAATATATTGAATCAAATAAACGGTCCACATAAAAACATACGACCATTTGTTATTAACAAATAATATTTTTTTTATGGCAGATTATGGCAGATTTTATTAAAAAATTAGTCACTCGCTAATTAATTCTGCTTAATGATATTTTACTGCGTTTACAGTTCTATATTTGTAAGTAAAAGCATTTTTGTTAATAAGAATACATTCTGAAGAATGATTTCATTTAAGAGTGTACTCGAACGAATTTCCCCAAATTCGGCGAGATGTCACGTGACAGTGCAATGAGAGTAACGGTGATGCCTGATCTGTGTGAGCAGCCTGACGCTTTATTGGAACCACGATCATAAATCACTGCACTCGAGTGCAACGTGACGTAACGCGTAACGATGCATGAAGACGTGCATTCTCCGCAAAAATTCCTATCCATCTCGCGACCAGGTTCTGTCGCAGTCAGAATAAATCGTTTATATATATATATATATATATATATATATATATATATATATATAAATCAGAAGAAAATCACATATTTTAATTTTTCTAAAACTGTCATCGATTAATTTAAATTGAGAAACGTTTATCAAAATTTTCTCAAAATTTATATCTTTATCATTGTTCAAAAATTTTTTTGGGTGACATCTTATGTGTCTTATTTATTAATCAAAATAATTAAAAGAAAATAAGTAAAATAAAAAAAAATAAAATAAATTGAAAACTGTATTAAATAAATGTGTAAAATAAATTGATATATTTATTCTAATTTGTTAATATATGTATATATTAATATATATAAATTTTGAAATATCGAATTATTATACATACCTAATATATTTTATTAATAATTTTATCAATAATCGATTAAATTAAATTGAGAAACGTTTATCCAAATTTTCTCAAAATTTATATCTTTATCATTGTTTAAAAAAAAATTTTCTGGTGACATCTGACGTGTCTTATTTATTAAGAAAAATGCTTAACATAAAATAAGTAAAATTTATTAGAAAATTAATAAAAAAAAAATGAAGTAAATTAAGAAAACTATAAAGAAAATTAAGAAGACTATAAAAAACTGCATTAAACTAAAATAAATCGATATTTATTTAAATTTATTAATATATGTGTATCAATATATATATATATAAATTGGAATTTCGAATTATTATACATATACTATAACATATATATTTTATCAATAATTTTATTATTATAAATAATTTGCTACCAGTTGCATTTAATATGAGAAAAACGATTGTTTATTTATTTGTCGCTGTTGCACTTTGTGAAATGGACGGCAATTTTGTTTTGCAGTCGCGCAATTAATGATACGCGGTTTTTTATTGCCCCCTGATATTCATATCATCGCGACGAAAAAGGGACGCGAATGTCCCGCGGGACATTATGCCGCTCTCGGCGGATCGATGACGCACGTGGCCGATTCTCGTTCCAAGAGATCCAAGAGATGGAACGCGCGGCATCCCGAACGAGGGAAGATCACTGTCCGAACGGTGTTTGTTATGCAGGGACCGGTCCATGTTCTCCCTCGAAGATGCCGCGCGTGCCTGATCCCTCTCTCTCTCTCTCTCTTTCGGGTCGCGCGTCTACCCATAAATTTGTATGCACTACTGCGCTTGGGCGAGCTCCCGAATCCTTTCACGTGTTCGCTTCCCCGTGACATTGTTGCCAGCACGCAGGAATGCACAAAATATGCCGTATTCAAGATAATGGACGAGTTGCCGTAGATTTATGTAAAACAATGCGTGTTTTTATTTTATTAACGCAGAAAAATTAATTACTCTCGATATAAGTATGAATATAAATTTTACGCTAAGAATTATCTTTTTGATAATCAAATTAATCATATAATAAATATAATAATATAATATAATTAATTAATTTTTTCTATTTCTCTCTGTAAATTTTGATAATGCAACTTTTTGTGTTAAACGAATTTTCTCATTTCTTTTGCGAAAATACATGAAAATAATATAATTTTTGAAATGTCATTGTAGTATAATGCTTGGATTCGCACTGGTAAAGTGCTGGCTAATTATTCATTAGTTAAATTTTAAAGTGAGCCCCTTCTAAGCGGGACCAGCACGTCAGATGCCAATTTCCCAGATTATAAAATTCATTTTCCAAACCAGTGGCTACAGCAATGCGTTCGCCTCTTTCTTTCTTTGTAATTTTGTAATTTTTAACTAACTCGACCGTAATGCGATAATTAAGCAACAATGTTAAAGAATTTTAAATATTATTCTATCTACATAGTATCCCATTTTAATTCATATTGCAAAATATTGTTGAAACTATGATTGTGTAACAAGAAAATATTTTAAAAGTTAAAAAGTTTTAAAAGGGGAAAAAATTGATAATCTTGAATTTTTCAAGATTCTTTGAAAGTGAACCTAGTTTTTTTTAAATGGAATTATCTTAATTTTTTTTATAATATAAATTGATTTTTTAATACCTACTATTTTTTAGCAGAAAAAATTATAAGCATAGAATAAGCGAATAATTTGGAAATATTTTGTACTTTAATTATAATATAATTTTACATAAATTATGAATTATATCTCTTAAAAATTAATTTTTTCATGATTTTACCTCAATACTTTTATATACAAAATAATGAAAGAAATTAGTGTAAAAAAACACAATTGTTAAAAAAGTATGTAACTTGCAATGAGCAGCTAGTTTCAACAAAATGTGTTCAACTATATTAATTAATTCAATTATATATTCAATTATTAATTAAAATGGGACATCCTGTTTATTTTAATTCGAATATTATATAAGAGTGATAATAATTTTTTCAATTTTTCTCTGAATTCTCAAAGTTGTGTCGTGTATTAAAATATTCAACGTCGAACGAAATGCAAGAATGACAAGTAACGTCTCGTCGTCGATCATTAACGGGCCGGGGAAAAATCGATTTTAAATACACCGTGGAATCTGCGTGAGAAATTGCG